AAATATATATATATATATATTTAAAGTGTGATTTAAGGAAAAAAAAGAAAAAAACAAACTGTTACATTGGAGTCACTAGAAGTGTATAGAAGGTAGAATTGGTTAATATTTGATACTGTGGAAAAGAAGCCAGGCAGGAATTGTTATGACAGGAATATAATTTTAACATGCTTACCTAAATTTCCAGGTAAATCCAAGGCAATATGCACATGATTTAACCTTATTAGATGTGTCTTTCACCCAAGCCCACAAAGCACTTTGCAAATTGTTTTATGAATTCTCTGCATAATACCACCTTCTCCTCAAAGTGTATCCTATTCTTAAATGGAATGTGTCCAGTAGTTTACACATCAAGATAATTTTGATCAGTATCTGAAGCAAAAATGAATGATGCTATATTTTGACTTAACTATTGAAGAGTAAATTTATAACAGAATTTCACTTCTTTAACCAGATCAGTAGTACTCTTGTAATAGATGTGCGTAACTGTGACTTTCTTTTCAATATCAGCTTTGTTTCATGAGTCTTCTGAAAAATTACTTCTTGGCTATTATTCTTCTTTGTTTGTAAGAATATTTTCCATCTTAGCTGGTTTTGTATTAAAATTTTTGAGACTAAACAAAGTAAAAAAAAACAACAAACCAAAACAAAAACAAGTTGGTTTTGCTGGTTTTTTTTTTTTTTAAATCTGATCCTTGAGACCAATGTCAACATGTTTGCAGATTATTTTTTTTAATTATTTGGGTGGGGCAGATTCATTATTCCAAAGGCAGGGTGTTGCTTCTTTATTTCTCAATATTTAGAGGAAAGTGACAATGTTTTTAATTGCTGGTTAATTATGGTAAAGTTTTAATTTGTGAACATTTTTCCTCTGTTTTGCAGGAAGGTGAGAAATTACAGTACTTATGTTTTGGGTTTTTTATTCTCTTCTTTCCTGCTAGGGTTTCAAGATAGATTTAAATTGCAAACAATTGACGGTAGACTTTGTGAACCAATCAGTGCTACAGATTAGCAGCCAGGATGTTGAAAGTAAACGGAGTGACAAAACTGATTTTGCAGAACAGCTTGGAGCAATGAACAGACGTTGGCAGATCCTGCAAGGCCTGATAACAGAAAAGGTAAAGAAAAAAAACCCCAAACCCAAACAAACTACCTGCTCTGTGGGATACCATGTAAGAAATCTTGCAAACGCCAAGGTAAACAGCATCTACTATTCACTTGTCCACAGGGTCAGTCATAACATCACAGCAGACGCAATCAGTTAGGTCAGGCACAATTTGCCCCTGGTAGGACCATGCTTTTTCCTCATCCTTGTTCTTTATACATGTGGAAATAGATTCTGGGAGGATTTGGGGTATAGCCTTTTTCCAGTCACCAGCAACTTTTTCCAACCATCACGACCTTTTAAACATGGTAGACAGCAGCCTTGAAATGATATTGACACCCTCAGATACATCCTGTCTGGTTCTGTGGACCAGTTTAGTTAAGCAGCTCCTAATTCTTTCCTCTTCTATCATGACTAGTACCTCTGTATGCCAAAATTTGTTAATTGGTATGAAGACATGGGAATCGTAGGTCAGTAGGATCAGAGCAGTGAAGGCACTGTGTGTACCTCTGACTGTTCTGTCGTTTCCCATTAGTTGTTGATGTACTTGTGAAGAGTAACAAGAAGAGCTTCTGTCACTGACTAGTTAGTTCCAGCCAAGACTACTTTCGTACCATCAGTCCTGCATGGCCAGGACATGCTTTCAGGCCAGTTCTTCATAATCTACTTTCTGTGGATTTCTCATTTTTGTGACTTGAGGAAGTTGTCCTTGAAGATTAACCAGCTTTCTGGACTCTTATCCTTCAGTACAGCTTTCCATGGGATCATTCTTACCTGAAAAAAACCAAAGTCTGTTATTCTGAGGATCTTTAGTGTGCTACTTGCTTTCCTTACTTGACTCCCAGCTATCTCATCATCAGTGTAGCCAAGGCAGTTGAACCATTACATCCTCAGCCAGTTCTAATTCAGATTACGGCTAATTAAGATGGTTCATTATATAGAGTGATGTGAATGCTTTTATGGCAATGCTGCCACTTTCAAATTCTGCTTTGTTATTTCTTTGTTTTGTGGGTTTTTGGGGGATTCTCCTCCCCCCCCCCCCTTTTTTTTTCTTTTTGTTTTGTGTTTTATTTAGTTTGTTTGGGGGGTTTTTTTTGAGAACTGAAGTGTTTTTCATTTGCCACTGAATAACACCTAGGATAGTCACAAGAAGCTTAATAAATTTAAATCAGTCAGTTGACAAAGGAAGTAATACAAATCCTCATCTGCTTCACAATAGTTATAAGCAAGGAATATAAACTGTAGTTTGCATGCTTAGTTTTATTTGGGAAATTCTGACATCCTTGATCTCTGAAAAGAATTCTACTTCATAAAAATGTTCTGTTAAGTTGTTAGCTTCTTTCAGTGTATCATAATATTTTAGTATGTTATCTCTACATAATTATTTTTGGATAAAGTAGGGGGTTTATTATTTTATTATTATGAACTCTTTTACAAATAGAGATATATTTGAATTTGAAACATATACTGTTAAATTCTGAAAGCATTGAATTCAAGGAGGCAGTGGTTAGCATTGCTCTTCACCAATTTATTTAATGGACCCAAAAATAAAGGTAATTGTATGACAAAGTATGTACTCATATTTCTTTGCAGATCCAGCTGTTGGAAAGTCTGCAGGAGTCCTGGACAGGATATGAAAATAATGTGCAGTGCCTAAAAACTTGGTTTGAAACCCAAGAGCAGAAGCTGAAACAGCAACAGAAAATTGGAGACCAGGCTTCAGTACAGAATGCTTTGAAAGACTGTCAGGTAACGTCCCCTTATAAATAACACTATTTTCTTTCCAGCAGTTAGTAACACTTGTTAAAGCCGTGTGAAATCTTCATATTAGTGAATTCAGTGACAAAATTCCTCTTTACTTCTGTGAGGGAGAGATTTCATTCCTACAGTACAAACAATAAGAAAGGAGGAAGAATAATGCCCCAAAGCTTTTTAAAAGCAACCAAAGTTATTCTTTTTGTATTATGTACTGAAGCATGGGCATTTCCAAGCATGCCAGATGTACTGAACTAGAAGACCATCAGAGGAATTGTTCCCATTCCTTTTTATCCAGTTTAGGAATTTGATGTCATGAACATGCTTGACTATTCAGAAAGTTTGTTTTTCTGCCTTATTATTCTGCCCTGCCTTTTTACCTATTCTTTTTCCACCTGATATATTCCATCTTGACTATTAAAAGACAAATACTAGAATACAAGGAGGTTTTATGCTTTTATTAACATGTGTTAGGATTTTTTTTTATTTTTTATTTTTTCTTAATATTCAACTATCCAGAGAAGGAAATAGTGCTGTGAGGACAACTGTATGCACAAAATCTTGGTGTTCTTATACCCTTAAAAGGGAGTAAGGAATTGCGTTTATCTTGGTATGACTGTCTTTCCTGCATCATTTGATGAATGGGACAAATATGGTCTAGCTTTTAAGTCTTCACAAACAGAACAGCTGGAAATCTATTCAAACGAAATGCATAAGAGAATTTCATCTGTACTCACCCGTGTATTAAACCCATCTTTGTTTCTAGAAGGGCAAACACTTGGTTAGGCCAGAGATGTTACAAGTAAATTTTTTTTTCTGAAATTCTTGTCCTAACTTCTCAAACTGGTTTCAGTGCTTAGTTTCAAAAAAGGTGTCCTTAGGGTTTCAGCATAATAAACCCATACAACTGCAGCAAGGGTAATTTAGCATAGCTTGACATAATGGGCAGGCTGAGCTTGGCTGGAGTTCAAAGCTGAATCTGATTTATCACCTTTACAGTCCTTTTGGTCAGGGAAGTGAGCAAATACACTTGGGGAGCCAGTTATAAATGGCAAGACTTTGATCAGCAGAGAAACAAATTGTCTAAGAAATAACTGTATCAGACACTCCCAGTATCTGGTTCAGCTGGTACAAAAGCTGCAGTTTATTTATTAACCAATGTTAGTTGCTGTCTAGTGTCTTATTAATAAGTGAAAGCAACCATTTTTTCCCTCCACAGATCAGAAACAGCAGTGTGTCTTTAATTCAAATGATGAATAAGAAACCACTTTTCACAGAGAACCAGAAATACTTGCTATTCTTGGTGCTTGAAACTTTTGCCTGGTTTACATTCTGAATTTTTAAAACTTTTGCGTAGTTTACATTCTTAATTTTGGAGCAACCTTGTACGAACTCAAATGCCTTTTTGGAAAGCAAATTTACTGTGCACAACTTAAAAGTGTTTGGTTTTTTGTCAGCTGGTAAACAAAAGGTGTGTTACTCCAAGACTGTAGTCTGGAACAAGGCCACGGCTGGAAGTTTGAAGAAATGTGAAATAATACAGAAAAAAGTGCTAATAATAAACAGTACAACAAAAATTCTGTGGCTTATATGTATATAGAAAAAGGTGTGTTGTATGTGTGCAGGGATAACTTCTATCAGTAGCAAGTGTGTGTGAGACAGGACAGAATTTTGCTCCAAATACTCCCACCACTATCTAAAATGTAAAGTCTGTTATGGCAACAACTTGTTGTTGTAGTTTTTTGGATTCGTAGGGAGAGTAATTTAAGGAAAGGCATGGGTTTTCAGTTTGCCCAGTTTTGTTGTGATGTTTTCTTTCCATAATGATCCATCTCTAACAGTAAGGAGAGGCTCACAGGAAATTAAAATATAACTGAGATTACAGGGTAACCTAATTAATGTAAAGGCAATACTTCCCCCACCACTGCTCAGACTCAGGGTTTGCACTACCTGACACTACACAGCTTCGACATGAGTCAGGGCATAGCAGGACTTTCTTAGATCTCCCTGCACCGTGCTGTGAATTTATATAGGCAGCAATAAGCTTATGGGATCATGATATGGGCTATATAACTCAGTTGTTCACTGAGTCATCTTGTCCTCTCTCCTTCATTTTATAATTTCATTCTCATACTGTTGAGGCATGAGGAAGATCACAGGCTTTGTGATTAGCAAATGTAACATTTGAAGTAAGTTATTTGAAGCTATGCAGAGCTTCTGCACTTGTTGATAAAATGTGATAAAATTGGCAAACTTTTAATCAGCCTTTCCATGACCAATCTAGGGTCATCTTAAGTCAACAACACTGTCACCACTTGCCTGAAGCAACAAAACGAGCCACTAACAAGTTGTCATAGCCTCAGTGCTTAGCTACTCAGCTCTGTTTTCTTCACTTGTTTTTGCACCAACCGTTCATTTTCTTCCCATTTTCTTCAGTTAGTGTGTGGGACCACTGACTGGAGCAAAATGCTATCGAGCTCGTTAATGCTTCCCAAAAGCATGCAAACTTGAGGAGGCAATAAGAAAAATTCTGGCAGTCTATTGTTTGTTGTCATTGGCTGGACTCCAATGAACTTGTCATTTAGAAAAGGGGAAGACTTGCTGCCCTCAGGCAAGGGGCTTTGCTGGGACCTGGCAAAGGAATAAACACTCCACTTCTTGTGGGGAGGCATGGCAAATTGACATCTTTCTCTAGGAAGTCATTTTGTCCTTTTCCTTGGGTGGCAAAATTAATTTTTTTTCCACAGCTTGAGCCAGCTTTGGACTAATTGAAAAGCTCTCTCATTGTCCTAGTACAAACTAAGACACACAACAATTTTCCCATGTATTCAAACTCTGTCCTATTTTTAATGAGTTTTGGACTCCTACATGAGAGCAGACAATTACACAAAAGTTTAACGTAGAGGACATCCTTCTATTTAAATTAAAGGCAAACAACTATGCTTTAAAGAGAACATAAAATATTAAATTGCTGATGAGTTACTCTTGAGAATAAAAAGCCAAAGTATGCAAGCATGACTTTTCTATTTTTTAAAGATAAGAAGCTTATAAGCATCTGTTCTACTCAAGGCATTATCTAGTCAACTAAACAAACCAAAATATTCAGGTATCTTCTTTTTCTTTTCAGGAATTAGAAGAATTAATAAGAACAAAGGAAAAAGAAGTTGAAAATGTAGAACAGAGTGGTCTTTCTTTGATACAGAACAAGAACAAAGAAGTCTCTTCTGCTGTTATGAAAACACTGCAAGAAATTAACCGTTCCTGGGCCAGTTTGGAACACATGGTAAAAGAATCATTAAGGGCCAAATTACAGTACCAGGAACAGGGAATGAAGGAGAGGGAGAAATAGCAGTTTGCAGATAGTAGACTGCTTCTGTATTATAGGGGGAGAGATTCTGAATTGTGTTCCTGTTTCCATCCATCCCCAAGATTGTGTGCACTTTACATACGATGGTATAATATTTCCTATTCCAAGGAAGCTTTTAATTCTAGTAATTAAAGCTTTTTAGATGATTCCTGATATTTAGTGGAAAGGTATCAAATAATCTGTAAAGACCTACCCTTTCCAGGGCACAGATGCTTTCTTGATCCTGGTTTGGACTGAAGTAGAATGAACTTTATATATTCTCAGTCCCTGCCATCCTAACTTTATAAAATCAAGCAGAGCTTTATGCTGTACCTAACCAGCTGATGGTTATGCAAAATCTTCATTCTCCAACAGATCTAAGATTGGGCATGTAGATCCCAAGTAGTACCCAAGATCAAAAGGAAGGAAATAATTCAAACAACCCCCAAATATCTTGAGTGCTTTTAATTTACTTTTTTTTCCCTTCCTGCCTCCTCCTAGGTTAGCCAAATGAAGATATTGTTGCAATCTGTTCTTGATCAGTGGAGCATTTACAAAGTGGTTTATGAAGAACTAAATAGTTACTTGACAGAAGCTAGATATTCTTTGTCCCGTTTTTATCTTCTTACCGGTTCTTTGGAAGCTGTGAAAGTCCAAGTCGATAACCTTCAGGTAAGAAGAATACCATGGCTCTCAACATACTAAGGATGGATTCAAGGATTAATTTTGTCTTTATTGCATGGTTGCAGATAACTGTACATCTTGGTTCATAAGAAATTAACCAAATGAAATGTACCACTATTTACAGACATACTGGCACCTTAAAATCACATGACATTAAGAAAACGCATTATCAAATAGCCATTGCATTTTTCATTTTGCAGAAAAATGAAATGGTGATGGTTGTTTTCTTTTTAGATTTTTGATGCTGTTCTTTATATTTTGAGCCATACTGTCAAATCATTAAAAGTTTTTAAATCATGCTAAGCACCATTAAAAGTTTTTCACTTTGCTTCATCAGGCTTCTGAGCTATGGGTGCATGTTGAGATCACATTTTAACACCCTGCACCCATGTCGTAGCAGTAGATTGAAGATCAGAGAAAATAATGTTCTAAAAGCTGAGCTATTCATATGTTCAAGTGATTTTCCGCTGTAAGAAAAATAAATAATTAAAAATATTAAAAGCATTGTTCTATTAGATATAATAGCTTTTTATTTCAAAGAAAGTTTTTGTCTTTGGAATCAAAAATAATTATTCAAACATTTCCAGATGCTGAAAGTAACTGCAAGTTGTGTTGTTAGTGTTTGCTGGCAAATTTAAGTTTACATCATCATTCACATATTTTGTGTGACTTAAAATACAGACATATATAAAGCCAAATTCCCTAAGTACGAGTGACACTTTTCAAACCAAGGTTTAAAGAACATCCATTAATGCCCTTTACAGCCACTCTTCTAGGTTGTCACTTCTTATGCATCAGAGGAGAAGTCAGTAAAACAATAGGTAGAGAAAATTTATTTTTGTTTTGCTTATTAAGATTTTGACTATACTGCTTAGTCGGGTTGAGATTTGCTAGGCTGTTCTAACTGTACTAATACGCATAAAAATACGTGAGATTAAAAAACCTTATTTTAAGAATAAAGCTTTTTTATGCTGCTACTTTTTTCATCTTATTCTAACCAGGAAAATTTTATTTATTTTCTTACATCAGTGACATTTTTATTTCTGAGTCAGTTCCATACACTTACTCCTGTGCAAGATGCCCCATCCCTGGAAGTGTTCAAGGACAGGGTGGATGGAGCTTTGAGCAACCTGGTCCTAGTAGGAGGTGTCCCTGCCTGTGGCAGGGGGTTGGAACTAGATTATCTTTACGGTCCCTTCCAACCCAAGAAGAGTTTAGAATAATTTCTTTTACTATCTTATTATTTTGTGAAAATATTAGGTTGAAATTTACTCTTTGCTACTATATCTTGATATTGAATCAAATGAATCTAACAATAGTATTTATATTGAACAACCCTCTATTTAGATGAAGCAATCATAAAATGAAGTTTTTCATTCGTAATCTATAGGATATAATTGATACATAATATCTTGAAATATTTCTACATTGTGCAATTATAATACCTCATACATATTTTTTATTATTTTTTTTTTACTGTTCTATCTGTTTTAGAGCCTACAAGATGAATTGGAAAAGCAAGAAAGTAGCTTACAGAAATTTGGTTCTGTGACCAACCAATTGTTGAAAGAATGTCAACCACCAGTGACTGAAACACTTACCAACACTTTGAAAGAAGTGAATATGAGGTAGAAAATGTCTGTGTTGAATTTTACTTTCCATGGTAAATTTGCATTTATCCATTGACCCATTTTTGTATAATTTCTACTTTGGGGGGTTTTGTTGTTTTGTTTTGTTTTCTGGTTTGGGAGCTTGTGAGGACAAGGCTTGTGGGGTTATTCCTTTTGCCAAGAACCACCTCATTTACTTCAAATAATAAATTAACTTTTTTTTCTCCAGCAAAGCATTTGGATAGTACTGTCAGTAGTTTTGCTCCGTGAATGGCTGCCAACTGAGATTCATAAATACCATGCTGGAAAATAATACTGCACTTAAAATTCAAGAATCCTGTCTGAAAATTTCATTTGCTATGTGTGTACCAGGTTCCCCAGTTTTTGGGTTGCTATTTCAAGTTGTAGCAAGGGCCTTATAGTCAAGAAGATCTAAGCCTTCATCAGTAGCTTGGCAAACAGCTTCCTCAACTTGGAATCCAGGGCAGAACCACTGTAAGGGTTTACTCAGAGAATCTATGGAAAGACAGAATCCAAAAGCAAAAATTACTTTGGTGGAAAGTGATTATTTTTTTTTGGAAAACACAATCATGACAAATTTTTTTAATTTGTAGTTCTGCCTGCACTAGAATCTGGAACTGGAAGGGGGGAATATTTGCCTCATTTCAAAAAGGATACTGTAGGATTTAAGAGTTTCAAAGATGACTGACAGAATTTTCACTTCATCGTTTTTATCATATAATAATAATTGAAAAATAATGTGATTTCATTTAGAAAGGAAATTGCACAGTGTATTTGAGAAAGCACATGTTTCTGGTTGCCATTAGAGCCAAGAATTCAGGAGGGGTTTAGTTATTTAATTGCATAAAAAAATATAAAGAGTTTTAGTAAGTCTGGGAGTATTTCAAAAGAGAGTTACACAGAGCTTTATGACTTTAAATACTCTGTCAGGGTTTGGGAGGATATCGTAGCAGAAGAAATGGTTTCTTCTTTATACCTGTTCTGGGCCTGTTGGGCACATGCAGGAATCTGGTGCTGGCCATTCATGGTCAGCCATGGATGCTCTGTGTGGTGAACCAAAGTGTGCTAAGTGGAAATAACTGGATGTTCACTTCGAAAAGTGCACTTCAGCTCCATCTGACCTCAAGCATTGATATACGGCATCCAAGATGTTGCACAGATCAGACCTGCTCTGGCAGGTCAGAACAGCCTGTCAACATATTTCTTAGATTCCTTTCCCCTCCTCCCCTCCCTCTTCCCCAAATGTCTGGATCTTGATTATTACTAAATTTCTTAAAAGCCAAAAGATCATGGTGAACAGTAGAGAGGAAGAGGGACTGCGATAGTTCTTGTGGACTCTTCAGGTTCAGTCATTCATTCAATCTCTTCACCAGGTGGAACAACCTTCTGCAGGAGATTGCAGAGCGGCTGTGTGCCAGTAAGGGCCTCCTTCAGCTATGGCAGAGGTACAAGGACTGTTACCAGCAGTGCTCCTCCATAGTCCATCAGCGGGAAGACCAGACCAATGAACTCCTGAAGACTGCAAACAGCAAAGACATTGCTGATGATGAGGTTACTGCCTGGATTCAGGACTGCAATGTATGTTCAGTTGAGCTTCGCAGTTTTTAAAAGCTCTGTGGGCTAAAAATCACAAGAGGCTCTCCATTACTAAACTCTTGGTGTATTGGAAACTTGCATATAAACACGTTTCTTTTCACTGATGCATCTCAGGCACAGGAGAGACAATTTTACATCTGTTACCCAAATCTCATGAGTTTCTCATACTTTTCATGTGATCCCTCCATTACTTGTTGCAGTGTTGTTTCAGAAGCTTGTATCTGAAGTCATATCTCTGGAGAAGGTTAATTCAAATTGTATCATTTGATTCAGTCTTAAGTCTCTGCTTATCAAAGCGATTCTTGCTTGGGAAAATACCTCTACCAAACCTATTGAGTTCCTTATAGCAGAAACACAAGATCCTTTGACTGTATTCCCACCAGTCAAGGCTCTTTCTGAATGAAAACAGGCTGTATGTTCAGCGATGTCTTTATCCTTCCTTGTGGAAAGACACTATTCACTCTAAAACCTTGAGATTCTTTCTTTTTCAAGACTGTATCTCAAGGCAGCAGGATAGTTTATCTCCTACCTGTGATTTCATTTTGGTTCTTTTGAGTTTAAGTTACTGTTCAGCATCAGCAACAAAAAAATTAAAATGTTAATTGTCCCAGCGTAAGCAAAACAATTGCAAGGAGAAAAATGAACACATTAATAAGCTTTTTGAGCATTTGCTGCCATAGTCATCTGGACTGGCTATTCAAAGTATTCAGTTTTAATTGAATAACTTCTCAATTTCCTGATGTGCCATTCTTTAGCCATTATGTTAGGCCATTTACAGAAGTTATTTTTTCATTCCTCTTGGTAATTCATAGCAGAAAAAACCAGGAAGTCTACTAGGACAGGAATCAGCCCACAGGGAGGGCTGCCACTACTAAGGACCAGTATGTCAGTAGATTCAAAAGGTTTGTTTAAACAAGTATTGCCTCATCAGTAACTCAGGCTTCCTCAAAGGTAACTGAGCAGTCACTTCTTTCTATTCCTCTGTATACAGGTACTTTTACATATTTTTTTATTCTGTATAATACTTCCTTTTCATACAGGGTGTGAGTGGACACTTTGGCATTGAAATACAGTAGTAAATCCTAGTTTTTTGTATAGTGGTGGAGTTTGGACATTTAATTCCTCCATTAAATTGGGGGGAGGATGACATTAGCAGAATGTCATGTTAACTATTCATATCTTTATTCAATCTCAGGATGTGCTTACGGATTTGAAGGCAGCACAGGAGTCACTGGTTGTTCTTCAAGAGCTGGGAGAGGAGCTAAAAAGCCAGGTGGAGGCTTCAGCAGCAGCAGCTATACAGTCTGATCATCTTTCTCTGAACCAGAATCTGTCAACCCTAGAACAAGCTCTCCGCAAGCAACAGGCTGTACTTCAGGTATGCAGAAAATGTTTTCAGTCCTTGAATCTGATCATTCTGTGGTACCTGAAAACACATAGATTAGCTAAAACTGGATAGGAAAGACAGTGGTGTTACCTGTTCATCAGAATTTCCTAGAATTCCTTGGATGTCAAAGCTGAGAGTAGAAAATATGCTCAAGTACAGCATAGAGACCTTGTAAGAAGGTTCAAGTTCTGGGAAGAGGATAGCACTCATGGAGGAAAGCATCTATCTGGAATGCCAAGGGCACCATGCTTTCAGTGGACAGCAATAGTGCTAATAACTGGATCCACAGCTACTACTCACGGAAAGATAAGCTCTCTTTCCAGCTAGTTCTTTAGCAGTAAAACAAAGGAGAAATTCTGAATAATGGTGTAGAACTGACCTTTGCAGTTCCTATTAATGTCAGTGACTGAACTGATATCTACTAATTGTGTCAAAGCCTGTTCAGTAGATGTTGCTAATTGCTTGTATCACCAGGGACTAAGGAGCAAAAAAGAAGTGACAGAATGTGTTCCGTAGGAAAGTATATGGGTGAGAAGGCAACAAAGGCAGTGGCTTCTCTTTGGCTGACAAGAGGATTTACCCAAGGAATTCAGCATTGTATAGAACGTGCTTATAACATCACTTGTATTGTGAGGAGAAAAAACATAAGAGAAGTTTTTAATTTCAAAGTGCATTAATAGCAACTAGTGGTTTTCTCTGCTGGCAATAAATTAAGTAGGAGTTAGTTTCATAAAAGGAAGTTAAAGGTTATCTATTTTAAGTCAAGGAGATATTTATGCAATTTGTTGAAGTGTTACCTTTTTGCTGTGATTAAAAATCCTCTGTTCTGACTTAAAAATAAAACAAACAATAATTCCATGGTCTGTGAGCAAATCAGCAGTCACAATTGTTCCTAGCCTGTACAGCTGTTTGCAAATTTATAATGAGAATAATCGGAGCGTAATGTCAATATGGATGCTGTGTGGCTGAAGTTCTTAAACTGTGAGTCCTTTTCTTTTCAAGGCTGGAGTGCTGGACTATCAGACCTTTTCCAAGAACCTACAAGTCCTTGAGGCCTGGATAATGGAAGCAGAAGAAATATTGAAAGGGCAAGATCCCAGTCACTCATCTGATCTCTCAGCAATACAGAGTAGAATGGAGGAACTCAAGGTGACTGATAGATGCAGAATATTGATATTATTTTTTTTTCCTGTTAGCCTGGCTAATTGTAGTACAAGGTATGCACAAATATACGTACATTCTATGTATATTAAAGGACTGTCACTCATGCAGAGTTTAAGACTGAGAACTTAGAAGTTTGATGGCAACCAAAGAATGATTGCCAATGTTACTTTACCTCTGAGTAAAGAAGACAAGAAAACTGTTTAGAATAAAATTAATATAAAATCAAAATGGGAATGGATATTTTAGCAACTTTTGGAGATTTCCTTCATCTTGGCTTTTCTCAATTTTTTTTTTTTTTATTTATGTAATTTCTATCTCACTGGTATGTAGTTTAGGGATGGAGTTATCGATTTTTTGGTATCTTGATAAACTGGAGAAACTTTCATACTGTGTATGAAACTTTGCACTCTTTCACCCCTTTTCTTTTTTTGTGGAGCTTCTTTTTCTCCTCTTCTTCTTTCAGAGGCCCTGACAGGAAGTTGATTAACATTGCCATCTCGGCTGTTTTTGTCATTTTAATCTTCCATTATTTTTCTATCAGGATTAAGTATGCATATAATTTCACTTTGGGCATGCTAAAACCTAGGTCATTTTTCTAATGTGGTGGATTGTATATTTCTGTACTGCAAAACAAAAATCTAAAAATAAGGAGCTGAGTAAGTTCAATGGGAATCTGCCAGCCTAACATTAAGGCTAAGAAACAAGGAAAAAGGCTCACTTTTTTGACATAAAGATATGGCTTCAAACTATGCAAAACTAGCCTACTTTCACAGCTCTGAGCAGCAAATCCCCAGTTCAGCAAAACGCTGCTATGCTATTTCAGTTTATTTCTCTGTGCACGTTTAAACATCAACATGTGCCTTCTGGTTTGGGATCAGAAGCTGAAAACTGAAAATGCATTTCCCTGGCATAGGGATTGCTTGCCACTTGGTGGCAGCCAAGGCCATTCCAAATTTAACTGTGCTAGTTCATAATTTCACAGCCTGTAATAGTGTAATTACTGAACATGCTGGTTATTACTTTTATTGTCTGTTGCAGAGTCAGATGTTGAAATTCAGCAGCATGGCCCCAGATTTGGACCGTCTTAATGAGCTGGGTTACAGGCTTCCTCTGAATGATAAAGAAATCAAAAGAATACAGAATCTGAACAGACATTGGTCTCAGATCTCCTCGCAGACTACGGAGAGATTCAGGTGGGAATAGTTAAAGGTTATTGTATAGTATTGTATAGTTTTCATAGATTACAACAGCTAGAAAGTATACCTTTTGCAGAATATATAAAAAGTTACAGATATTTCATTAGTCAAATTAACAGAATTTGAAGTAAGGCAGACTGCTACTTTTCAAAGGTTTGACTAAATAAATTGAATGAGATAGCTGCGTGGGAAAAATGTTACCATCTGATTCATAATTCTGCTGGAAAAGTTACTACGAGACTCAACACGGTGTGTGATAGGAGGAGACTTTACCTAAATCTATCTTTCTTTCTTTCAGTAAGCTGCAGTCTTTCTTGCTGCAGCAGCAGACCTTCTTGGAGAAATGTGAGACTTGGATGGATTTATTAGTTCAGACTGAGCAAAAGCTGGCAGCAGAGATTTCAGGAAACTACCAGAGCCTTTTAGAGCAACAGAGGGCACATGAGGCAAGTCATGAAGTGTATTTATACATAACTACAACACATACTATTTATACCTAAATGGAATGCACATTCTTTTGTGGAGTAATATAATAGTATGTCTTGAAGTATATTTGCCTGCACCATCTGAGGATATCTTAACTTAAAAACAGAAGCATGCAAATATGTCAATAATATCCCGTTTGGGGGAGGACTTGAGTATCTGTCTGCATTTGTGTATAATGTATATACACAAATGTGTGTAAGTGTGCCTATGAGTGCTTTTCGCTTACATTTAGCCTGCCTCGCATTGGTTTGTACCAAGAAAATCAAAGGTTTTATTGGTCTTCCCATAAAGCCTAACTATTCTCATGCACTTTGGCCCTTTTTCTTCAGTCCTAACTGGATAAAAATCTCTGTTCTTTTAGTTTATTCTAATTTTGTTTACTTGTTATTAAAATGCCAACATATACAGCATTTGAAGTGCGTGTTAAAGGACGACTTTTCTGTGAAATGCTGTTACTTAACTCATCATGGGGCCTCCATTTGGTAACATTTCCTTGGAGAACAAACTGATTCAATCTTCACTATGTGCTGGAGTCATTTGTTTCTTTGTAACAAATGAACTAGCTCAGCTTTTGCTGCAGGGAAAAACTGATTCAGAGTTTTTACTAGAGGATGCCTTTATGATTCTTCTGCGAAGTCAAGTGATGCACATTTTTTCTCCACTCATATTGTTGCTGCCAAGAATTCTGGAAAAGATCAAGTAAGAGAAGTCAATTTTCATACCAAAGCTCCCATGTGGCCACGGGAGTTTCAGTTCCCACAACTTTTTCAGTTGACCTACATATAAACTCAGGCAGGCCATAGGGAGAGCCATATCCTTCCACCTCTTTGCCTTACATCTCACAGCATACTGTTTGAATGGATGTCTGATGCAGAAAGTAGTTCACAACCATTTTTGCTTGCTTTAGCATACATTAACTTTAGCATTTAACTGTCTTTGCTTTCACAATTGTTGTAAATTTCATTTCCTCTCTGTGCTGCTAACATTAACTGGACAGTGTCTTTGCAAGATGAGGCATGCCAGGTCTTTGAGATTTGAATGTCCAGAAATCATTACTAAGTGGATAATTTCCTACTATTGTTGCGTTCAGTCATGTCCATAATTTTTGAAGGGGGTTAACGGCAATCTTTCTGCATTCAATTGTCTTGAGATCTCAGCTTAATTCTCTCTTGAAAGCTTGATCTCAGTTTGTAGCTCAGATGAGTGTTAGGCACCTTTCTTTTACATAAAGCTTTTTTGCATTTTATATAATCTCAATGTCTTCAGTACTCAGTGTTCTTTGCAGTGCCTCCTAATACTCATGAAGAATTTTCTTCCCACTCCTTGCAGCTGAAAGGGCCAAATCTGAAATTCTTGAGATGAATTTCCAGGTTCTTTTGTGTTGTATTTTTCAAGATAATGAGTTAATAGTCTTTTTCCACATGCACTACTGGAATGGATACTGACATTGCCTCCAGCTCTGTTACCATCTTTCCACTGCTGACTCATAACTTTGCTGATGTTTATACAAAACGGAACCCAGCTACCTCAGTGGCCTTATGTGGAAATAACTTGCCACTGAAATTTACAAACCAGCAATATTGAGGTGATGCCTTTTTCAAATATCATGCAGAAACACTGGCATCTGCATCAGATAAGTCTCTCAAGATGATCTCGTAGTCATTGTTGTGCAGTTCTCCAGACTTTTGCAAGCCAACATTGTACGTTCCATCGCTTTCCTTCTCCTTTTAATTCCCATTTCTGTGATTCATACTGATTTACATATGAGAAGAAATTGGGGTGGCAAGTGGTCCCACATAATCGGTTATCCCTCTTATGTACAGTGTACATGTGGAGAGCAAGTGGATGTTGACAGAAATATCTCTGCTTTTGGGTAGGGCTTGAATACCTCCACTCTAAGCAGAGTTCCTTATGCTTGACAATTTTTTTTTTCACCTGTCCTATTCAAGAAATACTGAAATTGTCACTTTTGAGGGTTTGGTGGTGTTTTTTGTTTGGTTTTTGTGGTTTGGGTTTTGTTTTTTTTGGTGCTTTTTTTTTTTTGGTTTGGTTTGGTTTTGTTTTGTTTTGAGGGTTTTTTACCAGCTATGATCTGTTCAGTTTCAATCTGTCAGCAGTGCTGGTGGATGTTGTTGTCTCTTGTGCTTCATCCATGCTCCCTAACTTGACACAAATAGATGTGTCAGGAAGTACAATTTCTGCCTTCTTGCTCAGCTTTCTGAAATTCTCAGTCCCACAGTGTTGTGGTTTTGTTCATGAGATAATAGAGCAATTAGTTTCCCTCTGGTTCAGGCTCAGTCATTCATAAAAGTCAAGGTATTCAAAGAATACTATCAAGTATTTCTGCAAGGAAATTAGACAACATTATTTCTTTCTAGTGGAGAATTTATGACCTGGTCAACATTTTCAAAATTAACTCAGTGATTTAGAGAGGCAAAATCCCATTTGAAAAATTAGTCTGTCATCTAGAAGTCCTTAACTACATACAATGTGCTTGAGGGATTTAATTGGGCTGGTGCCAATGGGTATTTTGCTGGCAATTGCAGATGCAGGGATAGGTGCATCACAATTTGAGCTGGTGGAAAGCCAAATAACAAGAGCGCAATCTCGATTTGGGCAATAGTGGCTCTCAGTTCAGGCAAGGGTGAACTTCTGTCAGCTGCAAACACCATCCCTTATAAAAGAAAAAAAAACTATCTCAAGCTTCATACCAGTATACTTTCTCTTTTAATATCTCTGAAAACCTTTTGAACATGGAGGAGATCTAGTACTGAGATGGTGCCTGGTTGTACCTTCATTGACGTCAGAATATTTCTGAACAATGTTATCTAGAGACATGGTCCATTACTAAAAGCAAAGATGTTTTTAAAAATAAATTTTAGTATTTAAATCATACTTGTTTAAGTAGCACTTAGGTAATTTTTGTCTTAAGTAATATTGAAGTAATAAGGGAGTTTTAAAAGTATTGTGAAAATTATTCTGACTGATGGGGAAAATTGGAAAAATTGGAAGAAGTGGAAAATTGATTTCTAGCTCCTACACGTGACTTGCCATTTCTATGTCATTTCAAGTTTTATTGGCAGTGTAAAATTGTATTCAAAGTTTGTATAACGCCATCACGCAAAATCTGAGCATAAACTCAATTTGTTAAGGCAAATGACTGTAATGTTCTTAAACATGTTAGAAAATAGAAAGTGCCCTTTCTGGCCATGCAATTAATACCCTATCTGAATTTTGTTGTAAATTATAGTGCAAATCACACAATTTTATTCAGAGAATAAAACCTAACTTCTATTGATATTATTTAGCTATTTAATAGTTCTAATTTAAATCTCAAGGAACTAATAATAATTGCTAGAACTGGAAAGTAACTGCGCAAGTGATATTTTTAAATGTGTTTCCATTGAAGTTCATGACAAAACTCCCATTGAATTAATTTGAAATCAGAGTAAATACCTGGAAATTACTTCTTAATATTGCATGCAGATAGAATTATAATGTAAAATCTTGTTTTAACATCCTTGTCTCCTGCACAACAGCTATTCCAGGCAGAGATGTTCAGCCGCCAGCAGATTTTACATTCAATTATCTCTGATGGGCAGCACCTCCTAGAACAAGGACAGGTGGATGACAGGTAGACATTCCTGTTCTGTTGCTTCTGCTGTTGCTTCTGTTACCTGAAGTAATATTTAGACTAGTGGGAGGCTTCCAAACAGAGAAGGTAGCAGATGTCAGTGTTCAGATCGTGCTCTTCTGAAATACAAGTTACTATCACTATGGTTAAGCTATTAATTAGCGAGTTCTTAAATAAGACAGTGTTCTGTAGGATGCTTTGGGTTATGTGAATGTGTGAATGCATTTGTGAATACAACAGCTTTGAGGCTGCTTCTCTGACAAAGATTTGTCTTGGATTATCAAGCTTGTTACATATATGTCTCTTCTGATGCACTTTCAAAATGTTACTTTCACCAAAGGAGCCTGCAGTGACAGATTTAGTGAATTACACATGATTTATGCTAACTGGGGATTTCCCTCTGCCAAGAGGATTACCTACTGCCATTTAGGAACACCTGCAGCCTAAATGTGATGGAATAGGAATTCATTGCTCCCTGAGATTTTATTTTAAACACTTATGATCAAATGGATGAAAATCGATGAAACACTGGTGGCTTTGCACTTGTGCATATGCATTGAATTTGCTAAGGGTTTCATGATCCTAATACAAGATGAGCTGTTTATTGGGATGTGAGAATTTTGCTAATGCTGTGTATATCTTATACCTGCTTTGAACTGAGTAGTAAATCTGGGGATGAATTGTGAAATCTCCATTTTTTTTACTATGAATTTGGCTAATCCAAACTGGCAAAACCTGTGGGTTTTCTTTGTATGTTTCTGGGGAGAAGGTAGAAGAGTTTTGGATATTAAAAGTTTGATTTTTTTTTTTTAAGGTCTCAGTAATTGGAGCCCTTTGGCTCTCCCAGTACATGCAGTGTGAAGTTCTCATCCTCAGCCAGCTTTCATGGCTCTTCAGTGCTTTTCTCCTAGTGTTTCATAACTGACAGCCAG